CTGTTTATCTAGCTTTAAATAATGATGTAAAGATTTGTCTTACAAACTGTTTGTATGTTCCAAATATAATAAGAAACATAATTTCTATTCCAATTTTGGATAAGGAAGGTTTTAAGTTTGTCATTGAGAATGGAAAATGTTCTATTTTCAAAGACACAACTTTTATTTATTCTCGAAAATTGACAAATGGGTTATATACCATTACACCACAAAGACCCATCCTAACCATTCAACAAAATAAAAGAAAATTAAATGATCATAGTTCATTCACAATTTGGCACGCTAGATTAGGTCATATATCTGAAAAACGGATTCACAAATTGGGACCTAAACTTGATCTTAGGGGAGAGGATAGGTTGCCTACATGTGAGTCATGTCTTAAAGGTAAAATGACTAAATCACCATTTGTTGGACAAGTGGAGCGAGCTAAAGGTTTGTTGGATTTGATCCATACAGATGTTTGTGGACCACTAAACGTTAGTGCAATGGGGAACTATCACTATTTCATAACCTTCACTGATGATTATTCACGGTATGGTTATGTTTACCTATTGAGGTACAAATCTGAAGTATTTGAAAAGTTCAAAGAATTCAGAAATGAAGTGGAGAAACAAATTGGTAGAAATATTAAAGTTCTTCGATCAGATCGAGGAGGTGAATATTTGACTAATGAGTTTCTTGATTATTTAAAAGATAATGGGATTGTCTCACAGTGGACGCCTCCTGGAACTCCACAACTCAATGGGGTTTCAGAAAGGAGGAATCGAACATTGTTGGACATGGTTCGATCGATGATGAGTACCACTGATCTACCTCTTTCATTCTGGGGCTATGCCTTAGAAACAGCAGCATATATTTTGAATAGAGTGCCAAGTAAAGCTGTACCCAGCACACCTTATGAGATATGGTGTGGTAAATCACCCTCATACAAATATTTACGAGTATGGGGTTGTACTGCTTATGTAAAGCAGTTAGTGGGAGGTAAGTTGGATATGAGATCCATCTTATGTAAATTTGTGGGGTATCCTAGAGAGTCTATTGGATACTATTTCTATGATCCCTCTGAACAAAAGGTGTTTGTTTCGAGGAATGCTGTATTCTTAGAGAAAGATTTTATCTCAAAGAATAGCGGAGTCATAGAACTTAATGAAGAACAACCACAAATTCCACTAAGTACCACGGAAAACATACCAGTAGAGACTGGACCATCTAAAACACAACCTCTTCGGAGATCCGAAAGGGTTTCTAGGGCGCCTGAAAGGCTATACCTATTGTCAAAAGACAATGAAGAGGGATTCCTTTTGGATAATGATCCAATAAGCTATGATGAGGCAATGTTGGACATTGACTCAGATAAATGGCAAGAAGCTATGCAATCCGAAATAGATTCCATGTATTCAAACAAAGTATGGACTTTGGTTGATCCACCACAGGGTATTGTACCCATAGGTTGTAAATGGGTTTACAAGCGAAAACGTGGTGTAGATGGAGAAGTAAATACTTTTAAAGCAAGACTGGTTGCTAAAGGTTATACTCAAAAACAAGGTGTTGATTATGAGGAAACTTTTTCACCAGTAGCAATGCTTAAATCTATTCGGATATTGCTAGCCATAGCTGCGTATTATGACTACGAGATATGGCAAATGGATGTGAAAACTGCTTTTCTTAATGGAAATATTAAGGAAGACATTTATATGAAACAACCGCAAGGTTTCATATCCAATGGGAGTGAACAAATGGTTTGTAAACTTCAAAGGTCTATTTATGGACTTAAACAAGCTTCGAGGAGTTGGAATATTCGGTTTGATGAAACGATCAAAACGTTTGATTTTCATAAGAATCCGGATGAACCATGTGTTTATAAGAAGGTTAGTGGGAGTGCAGTTACATTTGTTGTTCTATATGTTGATGACATCCTACTCATTGGGAATGATGTAGGGATGTTGCAGTCAACTAGGACATGGTTGTCAAAACAGTTTTCCATGAAAGACTTGGGAGAAGCATCCTTTATCCTAGGGATAAAAATCTATAGGGATAGATTTAAACGGATGATCGGACTATCCCAGTCGACGTACATAAATAAGGTGCTACAACGGTTTAGCATGGAAGAATCCAAACGAGGATATATTCCAATGAGTCATGGGATTTCTCTTTCTAAGACGATGTCTCCAAAGACACCTGAAGAAAGAGAACGGATGAGTCATATACCTTATGCATCAGCTATTGGTAGCATTATGTATGCAATGTTATGTACAAGACCTGATGTGGCTCATGCACTTAGTGTAACGAGCAGATATCAGTCTAATCCAGGTGAAGAACACTGGAAAGCCGTTAAGATGATTCTTAAGTACTTACGAAGGACTAAGGATATCTTTATGGTATACGGCAATGGAGAACTGAAACTAGAAGGCTTTACTGATTCTGGTTTTCAGTCCGATAAAGACGACTATAAATCCATGTCTGGATACTTATTTACTCTGAATGGAGCAGCAGTTAGTTGGAAAAGTTCCAAACAAGAAACAATTGCTGACTCTACGACAGAGGCTGAATATATTGCTGCATCTGATGCTGCAAAAGAAGCTGTTTGGATAAGGAACTTTATCCAAGGGTTGGGTGTAGTACCATCCGTTGTTGATCCAATAATGATTTATTGTGATAACAATGGGGCTATTGCGCAAGCAAAGGAGCCAAGATCTCATCAAAAATCCAAACACATTATGAGGCGATACCATTTGATTAGAGAAATCATTGGTAGAGGCGATGTCGTGATGGAGCGAGTCGACTCAGCAGAAAATATAGCAGACCCCTTAACTAAACCCTTATCACAGAAAGTGTTCGAAGGACATCTTGAGAAGATGGGTCTTAGATACATGAGTGATTGGAACTAGGGCAAGTGGGAGATTGTTAGAGTAGGGTACCCGGCGTTCCAATCTAATTGGACGTATTCTACTTGTAAATACAGTCTATTGGAATTATATTATGAATAAGGCATTTCTTTATCTTAAGAGAAAGCATTTATCTTATAATTGCACTTAAGATAAAATCCCTAGATCACTTATGGTTATAAGGTATGGTTGCGCATAGAGATGGTGATCATGGAACATACCTTGAAAGCCGTGATCTTAAATACAGTTCCAAGTCGATGGATGTTTCGAGATGGGATATCGAATAATCCATAAAAGACTTGCACATAGTTTGTATGCTTGTTGGACAAGAATGTTGCATTCCATCAACATTAGCGTAAGACGTAAGTACATTTATGTGGGTGCTTGTTAGAGAACAAGTTCACTGAACATGACCGTATGAAAATTCTTAATGAAGAATTTATTCAGTCGAATAAGAATTTTCATGTTACAATAGTACATGACTAATCCTAAGACTTGAGGCACAATGGTAACTTTGTGCATATTACATTCTACTTTGATTTATCCTTTTGGTAGCTAGCACTATCGTTTAAAGGGATAAGTTGGGTATTATGTTAATATGTATGGAAGTTTGTTAGTGGCCAATAAAGGATTCGACACTTATGAAGATAAGTGAATTTCCTATGTGTTTCATAGTTATTAATCCAAAGTCCTTGGCCAAGGCAGAGATGAATAGTGATTCATAACCGGGTTAATAAACATGAAATAGAATCATAGTTATTAAGTCAATTTGGGTTTCGACAAAATCATACCCAAGACTTAATCGGGAAATTAGATGTCGAAAGGATTTTACATGTATGGAGTTGTAATCGGAATAGGTTTACTCGCTATTCACTTAATACTAGATTCATGATACTTGCTAGGTGTTACCATGATATGTGGGTTCATGAATTAAGGGGTTAATTCTTGAATAAGAGTTAATAAGATTTAACTCAAATTACAAAGTGTTGTAAACCCACTACTAGTATTAATAGTGAACCTAAAAGGTCACACTAATTATGAACAAAGGTAAAGATTGTATTTCTAATGGTTAGAATTAATTGATAAATATCTAATTTGATTAGATGTCAATTAAAGGAATATATTAATCAATAAGATTGATTAATTACATTTTGGATATTACTTTAGTAATTAAAGTAATTACTAAATTAATAAAGTTGAATTTTAAAATAGGATTTTAAATTTCAAATCCAAAATAATAATAATATGATTATTATAATATGGATGAAAATTGGGAAATGAATATAATAATAAAGTCTTGGAATAGATTCTCAAGATTTATTATTATATTATTATTTTTATCTTTAAATATGATTTAAGGATTAAAATAATAAAATGAATATAATAAATGGTGGTTAGATGGTTGTTTGAACTACTTAACATTGTTTATTATATATAAAGTCAATAGTTAGTAATATGATTTTTAAATAAAATCAGATTTTATTTAATATTACTAAATATTGATTATTTTATGCTAAAATGTTTAGTATAAATAGATGCAAAATGTTTGCAAATTATGCTAAGTGATTTTGTGAGAAATTCAAAGAGAGAAGAAAGTGTTCTTCATATATTTCAAGAAAGTGTTCTTGGAAATTCCCAAATTATATATATATATATATATATTCCTATACGAGAAAACCGAGACATTCCTACTAGCGAAGGAAGGTAGTCGGAACCGGGCTTCATAGGGTGGATACGATTAGAGGGAAGACACTTGGATTCCTCAAGCGAGTAACCTCAATCCGTTGACGTTACAAACCGGGAACCGATTCCCACAATCCACTTCGGTTAAATTGAAGGAGTTCAAGAACTACTCGGTAAATACTATTTATTTGTATTTGTATTTACTTTATTATAACAAATCAAAATTTGTATGTGATGCATGTTTTAAAGATGACGATCAGTTAATTCGCAATTAGTATGTACGGATGTTGTATTTATTCGATAAATACTTACTTTGAAAAATTTTAAATTCCGCTGCTTAAAGCCCGTACGGTACTATCGAACCCAACACTTCCCTCTTCCTTCTGTCTGTGCTTGCATAGACAAATATGACCCAGTAATTTTTATCATCTTCTAGGCTTTTGATCTCCACTTCCATACAAAAAGAGTTATTTTTTATCTGGATAATTTCTGCCTCTCTAGACCATAACAATTGCAAACTACAACTTTAGCCAGCTGGTTCACTAGCCAACCATCTGTTTTCAAAACCTAATTTTTTACTGACTGTTTTGGTAAACTCTTTATTCTTCCTGGTTTCCGATAGGAAAGCTAGTGAGGGTGGTGGAGCCTGATAGCATCCTTGACCTGGAAAGCTGTAGAGGGCCCACCCAGACCTCTACAGTTCCACAAGATTGTCTTCATTGGGAAACTTGTGGCCATTCAAGGTTGGGCACCACCACCTGTGTTTTAGTGCTCTTTTGCTTCTTAGAGTCTTTTATTAGGGTTTCTATATCACTTGCACTTGCTTCTGCTTGATTGTTGGTCTCTTCTCTTTCTCTTTTGGTATTGGTTCCTGCTTCTTTCGTTGAAATCTCTTTAGGTTTCCTCTTCAGTCTACGTACTGGTGGGGCTGTTCTTTTCCAAGTTCTAGATTGTGTTTTCTTCCTGGATTGAGGTGTGGAGATGACTTCAACCATTAGCTCTTGTTCCCCCTTGCTTGTATCCTCCAAGGCCAATGCTTTAGGAGTTAGTCCCAGAGTCTGATCCCCTGTAACAATGTCCTTCATATTAGGTATGAAACTATCATGCTGCTTTATGTGGTTCTGAGATGAGGATCCTTGGAGATCTGGTGTATCATCTCTGTTAACTGTATTAATCCCTTGAGTGTCCATTACAACCATTTCCAAATTGTTTTTGGAATCTCTCCTGCCCTCCCCATTAACTAGGCACATCTGCATTTTCCTTCCTTGAACCTGAGTTGTTTGGTTCTGTGGCATTTGTTTTCTGAACTCCCTCCGATGAGTTATTTGAAGGTGTGTGAAAGCTATTGGCTCGATGAGGATTTGGATGATCTAGGGCTTTCATCCATTCTCCAAATTGCCCTTTATTCAGACTGGAGTTTTTTTATATCTGTAATCTTCTTAGAACATGATCTGTATAGGTGCCCCACTTTCCCACAGTAATAACATAAGTTCACTAGTTTTTCATAGAAGAAAGTGGCTCCAATCAATTGGTTGTGGTGTTTGATATTGGTATCCGTAGGAAGTTGTTCTTCAAGGTTGATAATCACCAGGAGTCTTAGGTAATTTCCTCGAGTTCCTCCCCCTTTGATCACCATCACATTGTTGACTTCATGAAAAATCTGCCCAATTTTTATCCCTACTTCTATGCTCAGCAAATTTAGTGGGATTTTGAACACCTGGACCCAAATGTTAAGGCGGTTGAAACATTGGTGAGTTGCGTTTAATCCATTTTCACATTCATGTAAAATCAGGTATTGGTTTTCATAAATCAAGTTCGTACCCGACAGCACCTTCATCTTGTCGTCAATATTGCCGAATATGAATTGAAAAAAGTTGGCACTTAGTTCCCTTACCTCCATCTGCGCCGTAATGTGCTATATGCTGCCCAGAGTTGGCCTTAAACCAAAAAGGCTAGCTCGGTGTTCCCCAACTATTTTCCCCAGTAGACTCCGCTCGCATTCATCTTTTCTTAATCGGACATCATCATCTGCAATCTCAAATATTTTTCCTTCAGAATGTGAGAGAGAAATGTTCTTCAGTCTCAGCCCGAATTCCTCCTCTATGCCCCCGCTAATTTTGTGGGATGTCATGACTAGCCCACATGAATTTCAATTGGAAATGTCACTAATTTGAACTCAAATAAGAAGTGGATGCACAAGAATCAAAGATCGAGAAGGGAAACTGATGTCTCCAAATGAAGGAATGGAAACTCCCAGAGAGACAATTTTTGACTCCCAGAGAGAGAATTTTAAATAAATTCCAACATAAATTCGTACAAATGGGAAAAAATATTGGAATCATTATATTCCAACTAGAATTTTAAGACAAGTTTATTCCAAATGAATATTTTGGTGTTGTCCGTTGGAATTTTCAAATGAAAGGCATAAGATTCGAATATCTTTAGAAATTTTCGGTTGAATATCTTTTCATTGAATTATTTGCTGGAATTTAATTTTTATTGTAGTGATTGTTGGATGAATATTGTTATTTATCATTGTGATGTGCCGAAGACTTGGATTTAGGTTGAACTGACTAATAAAGATTTCTCGATCATCCCTAGGCAGGTGATGATTGTTGGTATTTTCAAACCAAAAAGAGATTAATCCAATCCCAAAATCCATTTACGTCAAATATTCAAGAATCAATCAAATAAAGCGAAAACGTACCAGACTTCATGAATTGAAAATTCTTATGTTCTTTATCTTGCTTGACTGATATGTTCTTCCAAACGATCTTATTGGACTGGTATGGTCTTCCAAACAATCTTGTTGGACGGGTATAATCTTCCAAATGATCGAAACCTTATAGCAAATATTTATATGTAGTATATGTATACGTATTTTTTTCGTATATTCTATTATTTTTGAAGTGAAGATGATGGTGCTTTTAAAGGGAGAAAGCACATCTTTAGAAATCTACTCGTACCTTTTCGTCGAAAGGGAGAAAGCACATCTTTAAAAATCTACTCGTACCTTTTCGTCGTTTGGGGCCATAACCAAATAAGTAAGAATTATTGATTTTCAATTCGGTCCCTCAACAAATAGAAAATCCTTTAGTGGTATTTAACACTTTATATTCATAACAATGTGATACTCTCTTTATTCAAAATTATAAATTTAGTAGATGACTTTAATTGAATCATTATGACAACTATACACATTTAATTTACATATGTTGTCCAAAAAATATTTCTTACAATCTCCTACTTGGACTACATATGCAACCGAACAATGTGTATTACTTTATGAGCTCAAATTTTGTTGCGACAAACTAGAGTATCCTTTACCAATGTTAACCGTAATGACATAGGACTAAAGAAGCATACATCATTTTTAGCATGAATCAGCCCATCAATAATCACATATAGCAATACAATCAAATGACATAGATTAATCATTAAAGTGTAGCATGAAAACTTAATGTAATGTGATCTTTCATGCCTTCAACTGGCCTCTTTATTTCTTAGAGAGATCAATATAAAACTAAAATTACAAAGTATAATAAACTAAATACTTTATATCTTATCATAAATATCCAAACACACAAAAACAATATGTATATAGAACAATTAATGCAGACTCCCACTAAAAACAATATCCTGAAATTGTGTCACACCCATTTGAGCAGTATGTTCATGAAAGGCCTTGGGTGTTAGACATTTAGTAAGCGGATCCACAATTTTTGAGTCTGTCCTAATACGTTCTATAGCAATTTGTCCACTTTGTACCCTTTATATTATAACTAGAAACTTTATGCTGATATGCTTCGATTTAGTTAAGTTCCTATTTGTTATTGGAATATAATGCTACTGAATTGTTGTCACAATACAACTTTAGTGGTCTTTCTACGTTATAAATATTGTGCAGCCCAGTGACATTTTTGCAACTATATTCCATTATTGGATGTCTCATAACACGCTACAATTTAGTTGTCATGACATCCAACAAAATCAAAATCAATGTACCATATGATCTCCAGGTGATCTGATTTTCTATAAGTGTAAGCACCCTCATCTTATCCTTTGAAAGCTTCTAAATTTCTCAATTAATTTTTCTTTTCTTGAAAGCATTTTGAAAACTCTAAGGTACTTATAGTAAAACCTCTTTTCTTAACTTTGCGAAAAAACTTCTCTCTTATAAACTTAGCTTAAACTTGCTCTTGTACTCTTATGGGAACTCACTTCCAAACTCTGACAGGCAACTATCTGCTGAGCTCGGATAATCGTCTCCACATAGGACAATAAGTCATAACTCGTCACCAAGATCCTGATGTCCGACTGAAGCCCGTTTCTGAATCGACTAGCCTTTTCCTCTTCAGTATCAACAAGATGGACCGCAAAGGCACTTATGCGGGTGAAGTCCAGCTCATACTCGTCCACTATCTTGTCGCCTTGGTGCAGATCCCAGAAATCTCTCTCCATGTATTAACGAAAATGTTGGGTATAGTACTTCTCGGTTACAATATCCTTCAGTCGCACCCAGGTCAGAGCATCGTGCTCATCAGTTGGCCTCAGCCTCCAATAGTCTGACCACCAATTGACTGCATCACCATCCAGTTGAACAGAGAATCATGTGCTTGACGGTACACGCGAGCACGTTGAAGATGCGCTCTAGTTTGCGAAACCACTCGCCTACAGTAGATGGTCCCTCCTGTCCAGTGAACACCAGTGGTTGTAGACCACGGAAATGCGACACTATTTATGCCTGGATAAGCCTTGGCGTGGACTGACACTGGCCTGCGTTCTGCTGTCCTCTAGCCATTGTAGGCATAAGGTACTTTTTAAAGTCAGAAATAAAAATCGAATCCTATCTAGAGTCTGAACTTGGAATTTTAGCTATAGTTCAAAACGTAACTAGAGTTTGAAACGCAACCTATCTAGAGTTCAAAGATCTTTAATGGAGGGTAAGCCCTAAGCCCCAAAACAATATGTTCATGAATGCTAACATGCTCACGCTTAACTTATATTACTTACTTTGGAGTTTGCGCGGCACGGAGGTGGCGAGTGGTCAACTTTGTTTTTTTTAAAAAAAAAATTACCTTTAAAAATTTTACAAGTCTACAGAATCGTAGACCTGCTCTGATACCACTATGTGAGCACCCTCTTCTTATCTTTTGAAAGCTTCTAAATTTCTCAAGTAATTTTTCTTTTCTAAAAAACATTTAAAAAACTCTAGGGTACTTATAGTAAAACCTCTTTTCTTAACTTTGCGGAAAAACTTCTCTCTTATAAACTTAGCCCAAACTTGCTCTTGTACTCTTATGGAAACTCGCTTCTCAACTTCTTTCTCAAATCTTAACTCATAACTCATACTCAATTAATAAAAGCATGCTCAAAAACTCAAACATAGTTCGAAAACAATTCTCAAAACGAGCCTCGGAAATAATCTCTAACATAGTACTAAGAATTCATAACTTAAAGGCATAAATAAATAGACCACCCTCGCCATCGCGTCCGACACCAACTCGATTAACCTGAAATGTGGGAAACAATAGGGGTGAACATCCCACTACTCAATGAGAAAATATACTACTCAACATTCAATGTAATAACAGATACCATAATATTAACATGCAACATGAATAACTAAAAGCTACAGCTTGCACCGACAGAATAGTATTTGCTAAAGGCGGGGGAACTTATCCCAGATCTGCTCCTTCCAACAGAATGGTACTGCGAAAGGCCAAAAGGTCTTATCTTATCTTCTTCCGACAGAATGGTACTGCCAAAGGTCGAAAGTTCTAAATCATAATTACACACACCACATACCTCAATCATAACATCGTGCAATTATAAGGAATGTAAAACACAATATAGAAATCCCTTCCTCGTTATGCAATAGTGACTTGATTGATGAAATTCTCAAGGTTGAGGGCCCAACGCCTCGAAATCTACATATTTGGGGATTTATTTAATTAATTTTTTAATTTTTGGAAAGTAAATTCTTGATTGGGATTGAATTTAATTATTTAGCTTCGTTATTTAATATTATAGCTTCTTGAGAAAATCAGTTAATTGCTTGATTTTTCTTAACTCACTTAATCTTCTCGAATTTTCTCTTCTTAAAACAAAGCTCGAATAAAAACTCGGACAAAAGTCCCAAGGCTCGGAAAAATTGAATTTTTAGCTCGCTTAAGGCTCAACTTAAAGGAATACTTAATTCTCGACTAAAACTAACTTATGCTCGACTTAAAACTAACTAAGGTTCGACTTAATAATACTTTAGGCTTGACTAGACCCATCCCGGTTCGCACTA